AAAAAAAAAAAAAAAAAAAAGAGTTAAAAAGAAATTAATTAATCTTCTCCGCTTGTCGTCATCGTCGCCGCCACTACCGCCACCAACCTTCTCTCACTCCATCCCCGTCGATCATATTTGGCTCTAGACCTGACCGCCCCCACCCACAAGTCAGTTATCAACTCTTTGATGTCCAATTTCGCAAAAAACTTTCACCATAGTATCCAAGTTATGCTCGCTTTCTGCACTATTACTAACAAAATCGAACTCTTCCACACACACTTCGTCAATTTAACCAATCGGTTACTGTCCAATTGATACTTCTGGCTTCAACAGACATTGGTGCGCAACTTTCTTGACTTCACGCTCACAACATGACTGTTTCATTTTCGTCCAACTTCCTTTTGTTGGAGAGAATCTCCTTTACGAATTTGGTATAGCCGGGTATTTGGACCAGGGCAAAACTAGTCTATTTAGATATATCTCCTACGAAGGCAAGCCACTTTTAGTCACATTGTAACGTCCATAGACTTCCTACATTTTGCACGTTTGCTTAGGGGCTATTCACATGGATCCGTTAGCTTACATAAGGTCCGTTAGGTTGCTTCTCAATGTGAAATTAAGTTGCCGCCCCCAACGATGTGAACCTTTGACCTCCCTCTTAAAAGGAACTTAAGTAAAATGTCGGTACCAATTGAGACAAATTCTAAGATTGTATTTTTAATTTCTTCTAGTTCAATTATCAACTATTAATATCTGTTCTAAACGAATAACTCACATTTCAACTCGTTACCATTCACAAATTAATTAAAAATTATCAAAAAATTAATTGAGTCATGAAGCACAATAATAATAATGATACAGTATAGTAAATAAAAACCATATCTTTAATAATCGAAAGCAAGGTTTCGAGATAAAGCTATCGTTCATCCGACTTCGATTTTAGTTAAAAAAAAAATGCATAATTAAACAGAAACAAGAAGTTAAGCACTTCATGATTTCATAGAAGACTAAAATGAAAATTCAAAATTCAACTTGCCCTAAGCTTCCATTTCTTCCCCTATGCAATCTTCAAAATCCATCTATGTTTGTTCATTCAAAAATCCATTTTGTCTTAAGAAAATTGTGGGCTTGAGTTTTTCTAATTTATTTGTATTTATAGGAATCCAATCCCGTTGAACTTCACGTAAAAAATTATCAAAATTTCCCACCTTTACATCATACGCAGTCCACTATGAACAGCACAGTATCACCATATTGGGTAGCCTTCCCAAAAAGCGGACTATAGGCCGCGAGAAACATGAACTTTGTTGCTGTAATTCGGGACCTGGGCGGGCTCCGGCAAAAGTGGGTTTCAGAAAATTCGCAGCATCAGTCCCTGACCTTCTTTACTTCTTTTGGTTTAGTCCTAGAACTTTCTCCAGCTCCAAATTGAGTCCAATACTTCTGAATTTCTCCAACTGCGCTCCGTTTGACTGAAACACTCCCTCGTTAGTCAATCCTAAAAACAAGAGAAGTAACACCAATTAAACCGAACAATGGATATTTGTCACAAGATTGTAAGGCTTAAAGGCCCGAAATAAGTGTAGAATGTAGGAATTGTGAAAATGGATTATCAATTCAAATAAACTATATCAAACCCTAATCATATGCGTATATATCCTCCATGTTGAAATCAAAGAGAAGATTAAGTTGAAGCATACCTTAATCCATGTGTTTGATTTCTTGAATGATATTCCAATTGATACGTAATCTCCTTCTAAATTTTCTCTCCGTTGATGGGGATACAGAGATATGAAAAATCACGTTCAATTGGGAACCATGACCCATGAAATAATAACTGACTATGCAGTTATTATTTTTCAGTTATTCTAAATTGACACCTCATCAATTTAAAACAACCAATCTGGTCTCTACAGTTTATTTTCATGACATTTAATACCCATATTCGGGTCTCTACACTTTATTTCCATGACATGTATTACCCCGTAGTCCAAAATTAACTTTACTGGATCACTTTATTGACCACTCTTTAAGATAGCACCACACATTTTAATATATATACATGTGTGGCCCCACACATTGAAATTTTCCAACAATCTCCCACTGGGCCATACATATAATCTTATAAATTTGCACAATCTTATGAGCTCAAAATTTTGCTATCATTATTATGGATATTTCCGAACAATCTCGTCTATCAGTTATATTGATATGAGATCAAAGCGATTTTCGTCACATTTAGAGAAACTAAATCCATCAATGGTCACGTACACCCATACAACCAAATGACATATATCAATTATGAGACTGCAACATGAAAATTACATGTTATGTGATCAAAGCATATTTATTTCTAACTGGTCCTACTTCATTCTTTAATACCTTATGAGATCAAACCAAAACTTTAATCAGAGTGAAAATTGAACTAAATATTTTATTTTTTTAAATAAATCGAATATTCATGGATAAAAATGTGTCTAAAATAGATAATATCCAAATACAAACTCCCACTAAATGGACGTATCATCAAATGATGCAATACCCATAT